AAGTTCTTGGTGCCAAGCACCAGCTTGTGGCGACAGCAGAGGTTTCCTTCCCAAACGGCTTTATGGAAAAATCCGAGGCAATCATGGGCAGTTGACTGCATACTTCCAAGCCTGTGCTCTACCTGCTTCCTTTTACTGAGCTCCGTTCTGTTTAAATCAGCCCGAGTCCCCGTTGCTTACAGCTAAGAAAGCTGACTGATATTACATTTGGGCACCTCAAGCGACGCTCTAAATGTTCAGTTGGCCAGTGGCGGGGGCAGAGCACAGGGCAGTGAGGCCCCGCTATTCCAGGCTGGGAAGCGGTGGCCCGTGCATTGTGACTGCAAAACATTTGTTTTATGCCCGGTTTTGGCAAGCTTCTCTGTAAAGGGCCAGATCGCAAATGTTTCAGGCTTAGTGGTCAGTAAGGTTTCTTTGGCAACCACTGCTCCCTGCCTGTTAGAGCAGGCGGGAACAGTGTGTAAACTAGGGGCCGTGGCTGTATGCCCGTGTAATCCTGTTTACACAAACCAGGTGGTGGACTGGGCTGGGCCAGGACCAAATGTTTAACCCCGTTTTACCCCAGCCATGTACCTATGGATGCTGTCCTATCAGGAAGAGCTGTAGAAACACACCGACTGTTACAACGTTCAGCTTCCTAGAGCCCTCACTAAGCTCCTTCAAGAAAAAGTCAATCAATCAGCCGCACCTGGGCGGCTCAGTCAGTTAAGCGTCCGACTCTCACGGTTTCTGAGTTCGAGCCCTGGGTCGGGCTCTCTGCTGTCAGCACAGAGCCTGCTTGAGGTCCTGTCTCCCTCTCTCTCTCGCAAAATAAATTTTAAAACTAAATAAAATGTAAAACAAGAAAAGGTCAATCTAGAGCCAAAGATGGTTCATCGGATGGCACGAGGGAAAGAAAACGTGGCTTTCCTGAGATTCTTTCTGCCTGAAGCCTGCAATCTAAACTGATGGGATTCGGTGATTCAGAGATGTGCAGAGATGGACGACTCAAATTCTAACCCGGGAATCGGCACGCTTTGCCTATAAAGGGACCATAAATCATTTAGGTGATCCAGGCCACACAAGGTCTTCGCTGCATAGCCTTCTCTACATGTTTTTCACAACTCTTCAAAAACGAGAAAGCATTCACACTTGGGCCATAAAAAAGCAGGCTGTCAGCGAGCAAGCCAGTCATTTGTGGAGCCTTGCAGATCAGTGGTGTGGAGGCAGGAAGCCAAGTGGCATGGATGCGATGACTAGGAAAGATACACCAGATTCTAGCCTTTTCCACAAAGGGACAAGACCAGGGACATAGCTTGGATTATGAAAGCTTGAGGTTACTGCCTCGAGAGACTGAGGGATGGGACTAGGAGACAGGCCTCCTCAGGCTCAGAGTAAGGCCCCCCTCATGAAAGACCATCAGGCAGAACCACCGGCTGTTGGATTCCTGTCAAAATTTGTGACAATAAATGCTCATTGTTGAGAAACCAGCAAAGAGCCAGGGAAGATGTCTGGCTGGCTTGGCCTTACGTGGAACCCCGTCGGTGATGTCCACCCCTGAGGCTCCTTTGAGACACCAGGCGTCACGCCCACAGGAAGGAGGAAGGGGCCCTCCTCCCCACTGCCCATCTCAGATACAGCCTTGAAGGACTGTGGGGAGACAGTCCCACTGAGTGGAGTCAAAGGCCGTGGGTCGACCAACCACTGATCTCACTCCCCATTGGGGAAGTTCTCCATATTCACAATTGACTGTGACACTTAGGCCACTGGGCAGTGACTCTTCTTCTTTCTACTCATCCATTTTCCAAAGGGGATCATTGATTATAGACATCCTGTTCCTTCCCCTCCCCTCATTACATATGGGGGACCATGGGCGTATATGACTTGGCTTTTAGTCACAGGAGCCACGTGTGGACCCGATAAAGAGGATAAAAAACATCACCCAGGGGCACCTGGGTGGCTCAGTTGGTTAAGCAACTGACTTTGGCTCAGGTCATGATCTCACAGTTCATGAGTTCGAGTCCCACGTCAGGTGAGCATGAGACCAGCTTTGGTAAACATGAGCCCCCGTTTGGGCAATCCCTGCTTCTCTCTCTCTCCCTCCCTCTGCTCCTCGCTCACTTGTACCCTGTAAATAAATACATAAGTACATAAATAAATCAATGTCACCAAACCACCCTGGAGCTGGAGATGCTGTTTTCTGCTTCAGGGTGTGTACCTCTTGGGAAGGGTTTAGCACATCTCATGAAGTATAAGAGTCTTAAAAAGTCTTATGAAGTTGTGTGTGGATGTTGGGCAGCGAAGAGAGGGACCATGGCAGACACTGTCCGTCGCCTCTTCCTTTCTCTTTTCTAAGAGTGTGGCTCATAAGTATATCCCTCACTGAAGGAGTCTGATACCCAGCTAAGAGATCAATGCTAAGCATGGTAATTTCATTCCCTCTGCCAGGGTTTGGGTGAAGCATGAAAACTGGAATCCTCAGGCCAGTGACACAGGGAAGAGTTTGCCGAAAGGCTCTGGGAAAACTCTTCTTGTTCCCAAAAAGAGACATAGAAAAAGACAGTTCCCTTCTTGTCTGAATAGACCAGGGGATGGCACATATTTTCTCTAACGGGCCAGATAGAATTAGACCCATGCACATTCTGCAACAACTCTGTCACTGCAGCGGGAAGGCAGCCCATACCATATCTAAACAAACAGGCCTCATTGGGTTCCAATAAAACCTTATTTATGGACACTGCAGCTTGAATTTCATGTAATTTTCATGTGCCATCAAGTATTCCTCTTTTCACTTTAAACAAAGTTTTTTTTAATGTTTACTTATTTTTGAGAGCGAGCGAGAGAGAGATAGGGCATGCACAGGGGAGGGGCAGAGGGAGAGAGGGAGACACAGACTCCAAAGCAGGCTCCAGGCTCTGAGCTGTCAGCACAGAGCCCGACATGGGGCTTGAATTCACAGGTAGTGAGGTCATGACCTGAGCTAAAGTCGGACACGCAACTGACTGGGCCACCCAGGTGCCCACCCTCCCCCCGCCCCCCGGCTTTTTTAAAAATTGGGACTAAGTCTAAACCAGGGCAGGGGCTAAGTTTATCCCAATGTACCCGACAGCCAGCACCATGCTTATACCATAACACGTACACAAATACTTGGCAAATAAATATTTACAATATCCTCATGATGAATTGACTCCTTTGCCGTAAATATTAATGCACCCAAGATCAGAGCACCTAAATATATAAAGCAATGTTAACAGGTCCTAAGGGGGGAATAGCCAGCAATATAGCATAGTAGTTGACTTCAGCACCACTCCTTTGGCAATGGATAGATTATCCAGGCACAAAATCAACAAGGAAACAATGGGTTTGAACAGACATCTCCAGAACATTCCCTCCCACACATACCTTCTCCAGGATAAATCACATGAGGCCACGGATATTTGGTGAATGAATGAATGACAGGCTTTCTTCCAAATGGAAGAAATACGGAAAATTGAGTTCTCTGCAGTGACCATCAGCTACCTGCCATGTGGACCAAAACCAAACCAAACTGACCAACAAAAAACCCTAGACACACAAATACAGGCAGTAACCCCTGGAGGTTTCAGGCTGCAAGAAGGGGATGTAGATTCCTCAGATAGATTGTTCTCACTACTTTTGGCATTCCTTAGGTAAAAATTCAAGATCTCCCTCCCTTCATCTATCCATCCATCCATCCATCCATCCATCCATCCATCCATCCAACATCTATCTACCTCCTACCTACCTACTTATCTACCGATGTATCTATACTCTTTATTTCTTTCTAGCTGAATTTTCAGTTTTTAGCAGAGTATGGTCTAAAGATAATCTGACTTTCATCATGACCCAAGCCTTTACTTTTTTTTAAAGTTTATTTATTTCTGAGAGAAAAAGAGAGAGAACACAAGTGGGGGAGGGGCAAAAAGAGGGAGACACAGAATCCGAAGCAGGCTCCAGGCTCTGAGCCATCAGCACAGAGCCCAATACGGGGATCAAACTCACAAACCATGAGATCATGACCTGAGCCGAAGTTGGACTCTTAACTGAGCCACCCAGCCTCCCCTTGACCAAATCCTTTAGAGCAGAAGCCTTTATTAAGCAAACTGGAGGACAGGGCCGGCTACATAATTTTCAGGGACCACTGTAAGTAGAAACTGTGGAGCTGTTTGATCAAATATCATTGTGAATTTTAAGATGGCACTTGTGGATCACTAACCAAGCATGGGGCCTTCCAGCACAGGGTCCTATGAACTGTGCATCATTCTTTTGGGAAGCGGGTTCCATTAAAGGCAAAGAGGGGTGGAGCTGCCCTGTGCTGAACTCTCAGACATCAATGGCTCGCTATAAAAACTGCACATGATGATCTTGATGGGAAATGAAATGGCGCCCCTGCCATTCAAAATGGCAGCCTTCTCCACTAGATGGCTGGCACGGTTGGGAACACTGGAGTCTGTTGTTCAGAGCGGTTTGCTTCCAAACTTTATTTGTCATGTACAGTTTCAGATTACATAAAATATAGGAAATAGACTACTTGAAAGGCACATTCAGTAGAAAGGCTCTAACTACTCTAAAGTCACATTTTGTCCCTTTGTCCCAAGATTCAGATTCAGCTCCTAAGCCTTTCCGTAGCATTTTCCCCAAAGCCACTGTCCCTCAATACACAGAACTGTCTAAGCTACCGTATTGTAAGTAATCTTTCAACTATTAGCAAGTTAATTTCTCTTCCAGGCAGACTTTAAAGGAAGCCACAATGTCTATCTATCTTCCAGCTACTATGTTGAGTACATCTACATACAGGCTCGGGGTCGGGGTGTCTCCCTCAGCAGCAAATACAGAGCATCCTAGGATTCAAGCCCTGTTGAAGAGGAATGCACCCAGGCACACAAGTATAGCAGAGAGTATGTGGGGTGTGAAGGGGGAAGGAAGGACCCCGTTCTTCCTGTATTCAGCTACCGATACACACATCCACTCCAACCAACAAATCAATCCTCCAAACTCACCTGAACAGAGACCCAAAGGAATTTTAATGCAAATAACAAAACAAGTTAGTCTGTCTCCATCCATAGCCCCTCCACGAAAGAATTACAGTACTTTATAAAAATGTTCTAAAATGCGCAAACTACAGTTCCTTCAAATACAGTTGTCATATGTTTGGTCCTAATAGTTGCTTCTTGGATGTCTCGGCTAATTTTCTCCGTTGGGGTTGTCCTTGAATAGCTGAGAATAAGCACCAAGTGAGGGCTGGTTCTGTCTACAGGTAAGAAGGTTGGACGTTTTCTTCCTCATGCTCTCACCTCTTTCTCTTTCCCGACACTCACCACACCGCGGCCAGAGGAAGCATTTCTCTTTCACAGAACCTGGGCGTCCCAGATGGACGCGGGCTCTGAATGTGCTCCACAGCAGTGGTGACCAGCCGGGAAAATCCACGGGGTCGCTTCAGATACGCAGGTAGCCCTCAAGTTTTGAGGAAGGAAATTCACACTGTGCCTGGGAGTAGGTTTTCCAGATGTGGGGCTCTAAGACTTTTGTTTGTTTACACTGTGGTTGCTAGAAAATTCTAGAAAGCCACCTGGGTAGAAAGCCCTGGGACACACAGACACACACACACACACACCCCCACCTTCCTCCTTGCGGCTCAGGTAGCATCTTGCAAACCCAGGAGGTGTGACCCACAATGGGAAAACTCACAACGGGTTTTCCATGGAGACAAGAGGTGACAATTACCTTGTCCTGTGTCTGTCCCTTTGTTGTTGCACTGGTGGCCTTTCCATGAAGAGTTCCTATCTCAAAGAAGATGTCTGAATTTGCTCGCCCTGTGTTTTGAGAGCCTCACACAGTGCCTGGCACATAGTAAACATTTAATGCACGGCTAAAAATGAACGAATGAACGAGCAAGCAGGTGGAGAGAAAACCCAATCCTGCACTGGCATCCGGGTGACCCTAAAACCACTCCCGGACATCTTCCCAGCTCCACGGGAACCGGGCTAGGGCAAAACATCACTCCACTTAGCAGAAGTTCAAAGTGCCAGCACGGAGACGAGGCAGATGGGTCCCACACAGGCCCCAGGCACACGTCCCTGGCAGCCGCCCCAAGCAGAGGCTACAGCCAGTGAGGGGCGGAGAACTCCTTCCAGAGGCACTTCCGGGGGTCACCTGCCACGCACTCAGTGCTCTCACCCCAAAGACAAACGCCCCACGGCCCTATTCCTGGGAAGCCCCTGGGGCGCTCGTCACTGGGACCCTCCCTAGGTGGCACCGTGCATGTGAGGTTCTAGGGCCACGGCAATCTGGAAGCCTCTCTTGGCTGCATTTGCAGATGGGACCCCGGGACCCTCCACAGACGTGTTCCTGGGGTGTAAGCAGACACCACCGCCCCATCAAGGCGCTCTGCGGCTGACTGGAGACATATTTCGGCAGATCTAAGCGCCTCCAGGAGCGTTTGAAAATAGGCAGGTCTGAAGCAGGCTCCTTCCCACCCATGCGCATCTCTTGAACCCTAGGTTGCATTCTCTGCGGCCTTCATCATATTTTGTGATTCGTCTTCCTAAGCGGTTTTTAATCTGCCTCTTCCATTGGACGGTGAGTCCCCAAGGAGACCATCCCCACTTGGTGTGCCCTGGGCCTGGCGCACACCAAGCGGTCCATGGTTTTATGCTGATGAATGAGCGAATGGTGGGTGGACCTGCTAAGGCTCTAGAAATGGGGGTGAGTGGAGGCCAGCTGGCCTTAGAAGGCAGGGCAGGAGGAAGGGACAGGCCCTCCCACTTACGGGAGGAGGAGGCACCCTTAGGCCGTCTGGCTGCCTGCTGCGTGGCCCTGGGGTGCAGATGGGTCGCTGGCCCCCGCGTGAGCCGCTGTGGAAGAGACGAGAGTGGATGGAGGCCGATGGCCGCCAGAACCTCGCCATGACAAGATCTTTACCATTTACGAGGCAGCTCTGCTCCCCCGGCCCCGGGGCTGTGGTCCTCAGCTTCAACCAAGGAGCTTGTTAGAAATGCAGGTTCCCGGGCCCCGCCCCTGAAGACGCGGATTCCATAGGTCCAGGGAGGGGCAGTCTGCACCTTGCTCGGTTGCCAGGGATCACATGCTGAGACTCTTTGCCTTAGGGGGGAGCCTCGGTCCAAACCCCCTTTAACTTCACCTTCCCTAAGGCAAGCACGTAACACTGTCAGCAAAGGTGCGAGGCGCTCTCTGGACCCAGCCCGGCACAGGGGGCTGGCGCTCTGGCCTGGATACAGAGCAGCAGGGGCTACACACCTGTCTCTCCCACGGAACTTGGCTAAACATCTGAGGAGCCTTGAGGCTTGATGCCTCACCCAGACCCCCCTCACCCTACCTCCAACCCTAACACAGAGAGAATGGGGGGGACGGGGGCTGAGGTAAGCGGAGGCTAGGCAAGCCGCCAACCTGGGGGAGGATGTCCCCTGAGACCTGTGTCCTTGGTGTCTCGTCACATCACATCACAGCACATCGCCTCAGTCTAGAAACATCTGAACATTTTTGGATTTGAGCATGGCTGGATTTTTGGCTTTGTCTTGTCAAGACTTTGGGCAGGAGGTCTGGGTCCCAGCCTGCATCATCTCTCTCTCTCTCTCTCTCTCTCTCTGGTCTCAAGAATGCAAAAACTCCTCTCTCTCTCTCTTTTTTTTTTTTTTTGGCTTTTAAAGGAAATGATATGTTTGCTAGAAAAACCACACACACACACACAATTGATTATATACAAAACGGTTATCTGAATGTGGATTCTATACTGCAGCAAATGCCACCTGGCTCTGGGTGTCTTATTTGCGCTTCCTCAATATCAGGTACATGAGGCCGCTGATGAAGGTGAAGGCAAAGGCCACCCAGGCCAGGATGAAGGAGTAGCCGTATCTGCCATCCATGATCAGCGAATACAGTTGCGCGTTGTTCTTATGGAGGTCTTCGCGCCGGTCTGTATAAATGGACGCTGCTACCATGACGCACAGGCCTGTCCAAAGAAAGAAAACAAATAGATTATAGACCACCGACATGGTGTGCACCAGCCACCCGAGGGGACGCGGCAGGCGACGAAGGTGTACATAGGCTTCGATCGCTGGGGAGTATTTACTTTTAGTCTCTTGGAAAGATCACGTTTCATGTGGCAGAATATTGTGGATGCTTGACTTGGCACATGTTGCTTACTGAACCCAATTTTGTTGGGCCGGCCGTTGGCACAGCCCAGAGGGTAAGTCAGAATCGGTCTAAGCCACGCATCAGCCAGAGAGTGAAGAGTTTAGGGTTAGAACGCCACATACAATCTCTGTCGCAACTACTCAGCTTGGCCGTTGGGGCATGGACGCAGCCACAGACACTGTGAGTGACCAGGGCGGCTATGTTCCAGTAAAATGTTATTTATAAAAACAGGCAGTGAGGGGCACCTGGGTGGCTCAGTCGGTTGGGTGCCCAACTTTGGCTCAGGTCACGATCTTGCTGTTCGTGGGTTCGAGCCTCGTGGCATTGGGCTCTGTGCTGACGGCTCAGAGCCTGGATCCTGCTTCATGTTCTGTGTTTCCCTCACTCTCTGCCCCTCCCCCCGCTCATACACAGTCTCTCAAAAATGAATAAACATTTAGAAAAATTTTAAAAAAAAGGCAGTGAGCCAGATTTGGACCAGGGAACCACAGTTTGCCAACCATCCCCACTCCTCCCCTCTCCAACCCCACAATCTATTCCTTTTTACTTGTTATACTTTATGGATCCATATGTGCCCCAGTTCTGGCCATAGAAAAGTCCTTCAGTGAAAAATATCACTTTCTGGAAAGGGACAGACAGGAAGGAGAAAGCATCTTCTGTTGCTGTTCTTGCCCTAGTTTACCGCTCTAGATACTGTTATGTTAGGATGAATGTCTGGAGCTGCAGCAGCCCTCCCGGGGCCATGAGGAAGTCCTCACCGGCACTCTGAACATGAACGTATCAAAGAATCAATGGAAGCAATCACTTCCACCTTCAAGCTCTCTGTCGTATACAAAAAGTAAAGGTCTTTGTGGCTGAAGCCCTTGTTTCTTGGGTTTTTCTCTTACTTGAGGCCAAAAGCCACCCTGACTGAATCCGCGACACACACACACATCAGGGGCATTCTCCCTGGGGGAAGCTCTGCGTCTCCCCCGCATAGCAAGATAGCACGTTCTAGAGAGCAACTCCTCCCTACCCTGCAGATCCCAGCTCACACTTCATGTCTTCAGGATGCCTGCCCTGACCCCCTCACTGAATTCCAGACTCTGATGTCTAGAACGTTCCGCTGCAGCATGGCGGCCGGCTTCTCCTTCCTAAGTCCTCACCTGCCGGCTGCTCTTTACTCCAGGAAGCCCGTCGCTCTACTTACATGACAAGAGCTGGATGATGGAGGTTAACACGAACCTCTCTCCCTGCTTGAGGCGGAAGAGTTGGAGGATGAAGATGAGGAAGGCAATGCAGCACAGGATGGTGGACAGGATCATGGTGGCCTGGACCGCCTGCACCGTGGAATAATCTGTGGGGAGAGGGCAAGAGAGCGTGACCAAGGACCACAGACCCCTGGGGCCCTCGGGGTGCAGAGCGACAGTGACAGCTCCCGAGTGAGGGGGTACATTTGCACGCCGTGAGCACCCCTTACCCCTCCCCTGCAGTGTCCCTCTGCGCCCTGGACCACATGATCCCCGACGTCCTTATCTGGAAAGCAGAGCAAGACCCTCCTGTTCTGCTCTGGGTATATGCATGCCTCACGGGTAGGGGATTTGTTTCTTAAGGACAAACCCTCAGGGTCCAACCTCGAAGATTCTGGCTGGAGGGGTGAGGATGGGCAGGACCAGGATTAGAAGTCTCCAGGGGGGATTCCTGGGGATCTGGGGCTCACGGGGCCGAGGGACCTTCAGAAAGTGCTCTGTGAACAGACTACCTAATACCCCCTAAATAGAAGGGAGTTATTAGCCTTATGACCGCTACTCGGGAGAAGAGAAAGGGAGGTTTCTCGGATCAGCCTCGGGGAGCAAGGCTCGGCGGAAGGAAGACTCAGCAGAAACAAGAGCTGTCTGGATGGAGGGCGTTGCGCGCAGGAAGGACAGTGCAAGCCGCACACTGCCGCTGTCAAGAAGGGGTCAAGGGCACAGGCTGGAGCCACATCTGTGTGGTTCTCAGCTCCCCCCGCCTCAGGGGACGCAGAAGGAATCCATCTATGTAAGGACTGTAGGCGGTGCAGCAAAAGGGGAGGCCCGTGTAAGGGCTGAATGTTACCGCCATGACGCAGCTAAGATGGGTGAGGGGACAGTGACCAAAGTCGCACAGGAAAACCTGAGGACAAACCTCCCTCTTCTTTTTCCGCAATTTTGCCTGAAACTGACTGGAGGAAAGCGTAATTTGTAGGTACTTTTTTAATGTTTTTATTTTTGAGAGAGAGAGATCACGAGTGGGAGAAGAGCAGAGAGAGAGAGAGAGAGAGAGAGAGACAAAGAATTGAAAGGAGGCTCCAAGCTGTCAGCACAGAGCCCACTGCGGGGCTCGAACCCACGAGCGTAAGATCATAACCTGAGCCGAAGTCAGATGCCTAATCGACTGAGCCACCCAGGTGCCCCGGTACTTTTTATTTTTAAATTTATTTCTTTTGAGAGAGAGAAAGAAACAGAGGGAGAAGGGCAGAGAGAGAAGGAGACAGAGGAACCCAAGCAGACTCCACGCTGACAGCATAGAGCCTGTGGTGAGGCTCGAACCCATGAACCGTCAGATCGTCACCTGAGCTGAAGTCAGACGCTTAACCAACTGGGCCACCTAGGCGCCCCAATTTGGAAGTACTTATGAAATGTTTAGAGCAGTGGATCATGGTTCTTCCTGGCTTTACATTGGGATGCCCATCTACAGAGCACCTAGGCCCTCAGGCTATTCCTTACGGTGAGGAAAGAAGCCCCCTCCCCACACACACACAAACACATACTGTACGACTCCATTTGTATGAAGTCCAAGAACAGGCAGAGGGAACTATAGCGACAGAAGTCAGAAGTGGTTGCCCTCGGGACGGGGCTAGCAGGAAATGAGTGGAAATGGGCCCAAGGGAATTTTCTAGGGTGATGGGAAAGTTCTCTCTCTTGCATGGGCATATGTAGAATTGAGAAAACTCTTTGAACCAAGCCCTTAAGAAGTAGGCAGTTTCTTATTTGTCAATTATAGCTCCATTAAAAATAAAAATCCAGGGGCAGCCTGGGTGATTCAGTCCGTTGAGCATCTGACTTCGACTCAGCTCATGATCTCCTGGTTCATGAGTTCGAGCCCCGCATCCTGCTCGCTGTTGTCAGCGCAGAGCCCACTTTGGATCCTCTGTCTCCCTTTCTCTCTGCCTCTCCCTCACTCAAAAATAAACAAACATTTAAAAAAACATTAAGCAATAAAAAATAAAATAAAAACAAAAGTCCAGCATGCTACACTGAGATGAAATAAATCAGAATCTCTGGTGTTGGGACAAAGCATGGGGCTGGAGGGTATAGTCCCCCTGGCGAAGTCCAATGTGGGGCCAAGGTTGTGCCCTCTGGCTAAGAGTAGTGTTTCCCAAATTTGCCCCATCTCAGAAATCACCTGGGAGCTTGTTAAAAATACAGATTCCCAAAAAACAAAAGAAAACTCCAGAGTCGTTTTTCTGGGGTAGGCACCAGGAATCCTACTGTGCTTCAGCAAGTTCCCCAGGCATGGTGCGGTCATGGGCTGCCGTGGACTGAATGTGTCTCCTTCAGACTCCTCTATTGAAATCCTAACCCCTGCTGGGATGGCATCAGGACCTGCGACCTTCAGGAGGGAACCAGGCCGTGAGGGTGGAGCCCTCACGAGTGGGATGAGTGTCCTTAAGAAGAGACACAGCGGCCTGTCGGCCTCTCCGCTCTCCGCCTTGTGAGGTCACGGGAGAAGGTGGCTGTGCCCGAACCAGGTAAAGCAGCCTCATCAGACACCAGACCTGCCGGCACCTCGTGAGAAACAAAAGCTCTGACTGGCCAAGAACCAGAGGGGGGAGGGGGTGGGCCCAGCTTGGCTGGCTTCTGCACACCCCCCACTGTCTCTGGCTTGCACGGAGCGCTGGGCCAGACTATTGCAAGTACCCCAGGAGTGCAGGAGGGACGTGAAAGCATCGAACAGGGGGCCCTCCGCCTGAGCGTTCCTTTCCCGCTCGGTGTTTCTGTATCAGCTTCGCACTCACCGTTATAGTCGGCATCGATTTCTGTACAATTTGTGTTGTTGACGCAGACTCTCCAGACATCTGCAAAAAAGTCTTCTCCTACCCACCAGGCCTGTAACAGGAAGCGGAAACACAGGGAGGAGCAGCTGGTTAATCACGAAAACACTGACTTGTACTCAGGTGTGAGGCACAGCGGTAAATAAATATTGGGGACGGGACCACATTTCTCAATCTGCAGTGTATGCATGAGGCACCTGGGAATCGGCTTAAAATGCAGGGTCTGGGGGCACCTGGGTGGCTCAGTCGGTTAAGCATCCGACTTCAGCTCAGGTCATGACCTCACGGTTCACGGGATCAAGCCCTGGATCAGGCTCTGTGCTGACAGCTCAGGGCCTGGAGCCTGCTTCGGATTCTATGTCCCCATCTCTCTCTGTCCCTCTCCTGCTTGTGCTCTGTCTCTCTCTCTCAAAAAAATCAGTAAACATTAAAAAAAAAATTAGAAAAAAATGCCGATTCTGATTTGAGAGGTCTGGGGTGGGGGCTGGGATTCTGCACGTCCGACAGGCTCCCACGTGGGGCCCATCGGCTGGTTTTCAGCAGTGGATGAGGCTCATGTGACAGTAACAAGAGCACACAGCAGTAAACCCGCATGAACTACAGGGGTGAAGTCAGGGGGCAGCCAGAAAGGCTGAAATCCAGGGGCAAAGCCTGCTGTGGAAGAAACGATCAGATAAAATTCTGCTTTCGGTCCAAATGCTCTCTTCCTCTCTGTGCTTCTGCAGCTCCCCGTCCCCGCTGGGCCTTCCTTCTGTCTTCTATCCACCCAAAGACTGGAGCCCTCCTTCTCCCATCCGTCCAGTCATCAAACATCCACTAAGCTCCCACCATGTACCAGCTACATGCCCATAGCGATTCCTAACTCATAATGAACACCATGACTCGACTGGGAAAAAAAAGTCCATCCGTGACTTCTCAGTAAGTGCCACTACCAATACCCATGGATGCCCCAGAGGTTAGCTGGTGCTGTGACGTAGGGTTCTTCTGCACTCATGTTTGTCCATCCCTCTCATGATGTCTGAGACCCTTTCAGGATCCCAAAGGGGTAGATACAAAGCATAGGAAAAGGGGATTCTAAAAGAACATTCACTACCATTTATTTCACAGAGGCCCAAATATTTCTAAGCCACAGCAACAATGTGATCTCTGCCCTGGCCACTCGGAGCAACTCTTTGAGAACCTTCAGGAACCCAGACTGCTCATTGCAATCACCTCCCTCCCGGGATCTAGGGTCAGGAGTGGTTCAAATCCCAGCTCGGCCACTGACTTCCGGTGAACTCAGCACGCGTGTCCTCGCTGCCTGGAGGCCCAGCTCCTTCATCCTAACACCGGGTCAGAACAGGACCTATCTGGCAGGCGGGAGGTGGGGACCGAATGAGACGGGCACGTACAAGGGCCTGGCCATGATGAGTGCTCGCTAGGTGGCAGGTGGTGCCTATGTGACTATACGATGATTAACCAACAGGAGGCCTAGATGTAGGCAGCACTGGGGCCACGTGGAAGGTGAACTTCGCGGCTTTCCGAGCTGTGTTTCTGACTCTAAATGTCTGAGTTTGAAATTACCAGGATTGAAGACAGGCCTTGGAGGCTAAGTGTGGGCCACAGAGGACCTCTGGTACAAAGCTTCACTTCCTGCCAGCAGACATTGGTCTTTACCGACAGGTCATTTATCAGATGCATCCCTGCCATACGGCTGCAGGCTGCATATGAAAGTAAAGAGTTCAAGGTTAGGTGGGCTAACAAGAGGGCTCCTGATTTGTAAGATGGTAAGGGCAGGAGGGGCAGAAAACACCTGGGGTGGGTCACCTGGGGGATCTAGGGCGGTGGGCCTCACCTGACGGTGGTTTTGCCCACCCTGGGACATTTGGCAATGTCTGAGGACATCTGTGGTTGTCACAAAACGGTGAAGGTGCTTGGCATCTAGTGGGCGGAGGCCAAAGATACTGCTGAGCTTCTGACATTCCACAGGACGGCCTCACAGCAAAGAATGGTCCAGCCCCAAATGGCAGTGCTGAGGTGGAGATACTTATCTAGAGGAAGGTTGAATTCAAGCGGCACCCTCAAAGAGCTTCCTACACCCAAGGCATCACACCAGGCACTGTGGGGGGATCTGGGACGGACGACCCAGGTGCCTGTGCACCCAGACCTAACCGTGAGATGCCCTGAACCTCCACGCTTAGGCCTGAGCTGAGAGGGGCATGTCAATTAGGGAGCACAAGCCCATATCCTACCCACCTTGGGGAAGCTCTCAGTCCTGCTTTCTACAGACTGTGGGATCCGGGCATTCTGGGAAGGTCAGAAAGAAAGGGAACTTACATTGTCAATGGTGGCGATGAAGAGCAATGCCGCAGAGGTGATGTGGAAGACGATGATGAAAGCCAGGAGCACCAACATTTTCACGAGGCACGGTGGGGAGAGGGGTTGCGTTAAAAGCCCAGAGGGAGACAGATGCTAAAGGAAGTGAAAGAAAGAAATACATGTGTCAACAAAAGAGCAAAATTAAGTGAAAAACAGGCAATTTTTGGTGGGGGTTTTGGAAGATCAAAAACGGCTCTTCTCGGGGAGCCTGGGTGGCTCAGTCAGTTGAGTGTCCGACTTCGGCTCAGGTCATGATCTCACGGTTCGTGGGTTCAAGCCCCGCATCGGGCTCTGTGCTGACAGCTAGCTCAGGGCCTGGAGCCTGTTTCAGATTCTGTGTCTCCCTCTCTCTCTGACCCTCCCCTGCTCATGCTGTCTCTCTCTCTCTCAGAAATAAAACATTTTTAAAATTAAAAAAAAAAAAAAAAAAAAGACGGCTCTTCTCATCTTTCCTTCCCCGTAGAGACTTGAGTCTGGGAGAAGGAGCTGCTCCGTGTTGCATCCAGATACCAAATATCTCTCGTGGAGGAGGATGGGCGAGAATCGATCAAAATCGCTGATTCGGAAAAGCGTGGCGCCTCGTCAAAGCAGCACGCTGTGGGCGCCAGGGCAGGAAGGAGCGGCTCTATGCATGCTCAAATGCTGTTCCCCATACCCCACCCACCAGGCTATGGTGGGAATGCCCTAGGAGGTTCACAGCTCCTGAGGAAGCCTGAGGTCGGAGTATTCATGATCACAGAGATGGTGCCTACCAGAGCAAAAGTGATCCCAACACGACCATATTTCCTAACGATACGGCCATTTATCAAATTAATCCCCGCTCAAACACCCCTCCTCATAACCTCCATCCCTATGTGAACAAAATGAAAACACAGCGTATGGTAGACAGGTGCAGCGCATTCATTTCCCTGAGCCTGACAGGACTACATTTCCCAGCCTCCCTCGCAGTGAGGCGGGAGCCTTGTGACTAATTCCGGCCAATGGGCTGTAAGTAACCCTGACACATGTCATTTACCCGCCGAAGAGCAGGTGTGCGTTCTGCCACATCCCTCCCCTGTGAAGTGGCCGGGATGTTGCAGCCACCATTCACTGAAGCCCCACGCTTTGGACAGATATTGTGATTGACGAAGAAGCCTTTGGATGTTAAACCACTGAGATTTCAGGGTAAAGTTTTTACCATGGCTGGACGGTCTGAATAACATACCATAGGAGGCGACAGCAAAGTGAAATTGGAAATCTTGCAGAAGAACTAGGGTTGTACCAAGTTGATAAAAGTGATGCTGGAGAGCTGCTCAGAAGCACCAAAGGCATTCATACACGGGGGCTTGTCCTCTCTGACCATGCTCCCTCACTCACCGGACTCATCATTCCCTCATGGGGGCGGAGGCTCATGGGCTCACACTGGGTGAACCCCTGAGACCCAGGACTCACTCGACTGATGAGCCAGGAGTCTGGGCTGCAGAGATCAGCCTGGGCGGTCCCAGCTGTGATTCTGTGCATCATCGTTTAGAAGAACCCATGAACCAGCTCAGAAATTCTTTCAATTCTTTTTAAAAGGACAAATACTCCTTTGTTTACGCCTGCATCATTCTTAGCGGCCATCATAGGCTGCCTCCAAACAGATGTGCTTCTGACTCCTACTAAAAAGCCAAGCTAATCAGGCAGGGCTATAAATGCTGGGTGATAATGGACTTCATATATTATCTAGTTCAGATGACAAAAAGCATATGGACACACAACTAGTGAGAAAGTCCCGACTAATCCTTCTGAGTCCACCAAGGAAAAAGACCCAGTTTGGTGTTAGCCCGTCTCAAACACTTGCCTTTTTTTTTCCCAAAAAGAAAAGACAGAACTTTTTGTAGGTCATTTACTGTAGCTAGAATTTAAGAATGTTGCTTAGATTTTATTACATCCATTTTGAAGGTTCTTTTCATAAGAACACTACTTACTTATAGTAGGAACATGAAGTATCCTTTTGAAACAAATTTGAAGTTTTAAAACATGAGTCATTTAAGGAAAATACTATGTAAATAAAAGGACAAGAGGTCTTCTGGGTCAGCAAAAAGCCTGAGGGTGGTTCTGGAATGCCTAATGTCTGGGAGGCACTGCTTTAACACTTGGGAGTGAGTCTGGTTGGAACTCCAGACATTAGGAAGGATCTCCTGTGGAGAAGAGGCTAAGTTTTACAACAGATCTTGAGTCCAGTGTAAGAGAAAGATCTAGGGGCAAACAAGGGTGGCTATAGATTGGTTTAAACTGTCAGGTGTCCATGAAAATTACGGAATAGAGAAGTAAATGCAACCTACTTAGTGCTCCCCCATGATGATGTCTGGACCTCCCATAAAAGCAAAATGGGACAAAAAGATAGAACTTGTGGACCTAATACATTGCTAGTGACCTCACCAGAGGCTTTGAAAGAAACCATTCCTAAGTAGAAGAGATCCCATGGATCTTTAAAGGACCCTTCACTCCTGCATCTTTACACCTAGTGTCCCTTTAGCACTATCTCTGAGGCCAGTCTCCTACTTTCTTTCCTTCAGGAACCCCTCTTACCATTTTCCTTTGCATCCTTCCAGAAATAGTTATGTGGGAGCACTTATTCCACACTCTGCAGGTTTCTGTGTGGAGTTGCACCAAAGTAACACTTCCGGCCTCACGCTCCGCCCCTCACTCACTCCTTCACTCCTGATTGGAGGGGACATCCAGTGTCTACCTTCCGGATTGGTGTAGCTCAGACTTAAATGGAGGGTGGCACCAGTTTGGCAATTCTGCACACCTCCTCCCTCGGGGGGGGGGGTGTGTGTGTGGGGGGGGCAAGTGTCTGTTTTAGAGACCTACTTTCCCTTCATTGAGGAGGGAGCGGGGTGTGGAGTTGAGAGCCCATTCTCCAGCCTAGCTTTCCCGCCACTAATCCTTCTCTTTCAGCGCAAGGGATTACACCTCATTGTGGAAATGGCTGCCTGGTGTTGGGTTGTGTGACCAAAGCGGGTCTGCTCAACCGGTTCCCTACTGATGGCCATTTAGGTCCTTTCCAGACATCCTGCTATTTCATGCTAGACTTCGCAGGGACATCCTCACACCTATTTCTTTTTCTTTTTAATATTTTATTTTTAAGCAAACTCTGCACCCAGCGTGGGGCTCACACTCACACCCCTGAGATCAAGTCACAGTCTCCACCAATTGAGCCAGCCAGGCGCCCCCTTACACTTATTTCCGCAGAGTCCTTGAACTGGGGGTGTTGGGTCAAAGGATACCAGCATGTAGTTGATTTTACTAATTTCTTGGCTCAATTTAGCATACTGGACACTTGGTGCTGTGCCATCTATCTTCAAAGTTGACCTACGGGACCCATGGCTGTGCACGGCCCTGGGTGGATGCAGAAGACTTAATGCCATGTCTTTGACTCATTACCACCCTTAGTTCCCCAGAAAGTGTGATTCTGGCCCATACAGACCAGCCGCTGCCACCTCCTGGGCCCTCACTTCCCAGTGGTGCCCTCCTCGTGACACTGACCCATCTTTCACTCCTGCACAGCGCCTCCTGCACCATCTCCGGAGTCACAGAAGGACAGACAACCCCCGAGGCTGGGGGCTCCATGAAGGCCGGCCCACCAAACCCAAGGTGGCACCGAATTTATCCTTGCCATTCACAGAGATTTATTTTCCCTCCAAAAAATGTCGTACTGAATGCCGATGCCTCTTGCTTTCCCTTGTCCCTTGCGGCCTTCAGTGCTCTACTGGGCTGGCCTCATCTCAGTTTTCTGGAGCAAGTTCCCTGGAGGTCACCCTCCTTTCCCCCCATAGCTGGTTCTCCCTCGCATCATCTAGGTCTCCATTCCAACAGCCGCTCCTCAGAGAAGCGTCCAGATCTACCGATAAGAAGCACCCACGCGCCGCACCCCCCCCCCCACCTCGGTACTGTCTGTCCTGCCCCCCTGGTTCGTTTCCTTCCAAGCACTTTCACGGTCTCAAAGTATCTCACTTTGTTCACTTGCTTATTACCTATCTGCCCTCTGTTCACAGCCGTGCCTGGTGCACAGAAAGCTACCTGCTATCGTTTGTAGTTCTAAAAACGCATAACTGTGGAGGTTCTGGGAAAACTCAAAGCCCTGATCATCCAGAGACAGGAACTGAGACCAGGAACGGAGGCTGTGGCTTGCTCCGATCCCACAGCGAAGCAGTAGCAAGGTCAGGTCCGGAGGGTGTCCTGAGCTCAGTGGGAGACCCCTCAGAGGATGGGAGACAGGGTTTCAATGTCAACAAGCACTTGCCAGTAGCCTCTGCCATGCACCAGCACGACTTTGACCAGGAAGGAAGGCAAGCCACGGTGCCGTCCCTTTGGCGGACTCTCCAGGGGCTGAGCGGGACGCTCTGAAAGGCCACCTGGGCTTGGGCGTCACCCCTGCCCGGAGGTGGGAGGCTGCGCAGGTGAGCTTTTCAAGTCCTAGTCCAGAAATCAAAGTCTTAGGACTTGCAGGACTTCTCTTTTAAAAAATATGTTTTGATCTATATACTACACATGATGACTAAGAAAAAAACACACGAAAGATAATAGAACCAAAGGCATGTGATGAAAAACCACAGCGTCTGCCCTACCCCGGTTCCGGGCCTCGGGAAGCAATCCCTTTTACCCCTTCAGCTGCGTTCTTCCCCAGAGTTCCATATTTCCAAACAATACTCACACACTTCTCTTTCCTCATTCATCTACCGTATGTTTGTTTTTGTTAGGTTTTATTTTTTAAGTAATCTCTGCACCCAACCTGGGGCTTGAACTCATGACCCGGAGATCAAGAGTCGTGCACTCCGCTGACCGAGTCAGCCAGGTGCCTCCCCTCCTACTCATCTACTGTAAACACCGGCTTCCTGCCCAGGGGAGAGTTTCTTCACCCCCATCGGCCCCCACCTGCCACCCTTCCCATCTCCATACAGTTTGGCCATACGTCCATCATCGACCTTTACATTTTGACCCCGTAACTGTGGTCAACTACACAGCCAAATAGTGTGCTATGATTGCATTTTCCCCCTCTTCTTTTCCTTGGCGTTACCAGGTGCCTATTTCACCCCTCGGGGGCTCTGTCTGTTGTCTTTAGTTCT